GCACGCACGCACGCACGCACGCACGCACGCACGCACGCACGACCACGCACGCACGCACGCACGCACGCACGCACGCACACACCACACACACACACTGTTGATAAACATAAAATAAAATCGCACTCTTTTATTCTCTACGTAATTTTCTATTTAAATATATCATTAATTTTTGTAGATAGTTATGACAACTATTTTACACAATTTTTTTTAATGCAGCAATTTTTTATTAAAATAATTTTTTGTAAAATAGTTCTATACAATAATGTTTTACTACTGAGATGACTCGAATTCTTTTTTTTACCTTTTTTTGAAAAGGTAATTTTTTTAGGATATCACTAATTTTTGTAGACAATTAAGAAATAACTATTTTGCACATTAACTTTGTTTAATGTAACATTTTTGTAGTTTAAATAATACTATGTCTCGTGGATAAAACAGTTTTTTTATTTTCAATAACGTAAAATTTTTTACAATTTAATACTTACACATGATTAACTTTTTTATACTTTTTAAAAAAGTAATTTTTGAGAATATGTTAAATATCCAAATAAATAAGCAAAGAATCTGCCATCAGCCCCGTCATTTCATTAAAATATGACGATCTTCTCTACTTAATATATTTTTTGCAAACTTCGTAAAGTTAAAATGTTAACAAAGCTACATTCTTCAATTATTATAATTCCAGATGAAGTTCACTTTAATAAAATTTTAATTTTAGGTTTAGTTACAAACCTTCGACATTTTCAATGAAGAAAAATCGTCTCTAAATAACATTAGAAATCTGTTATTAATGTTACTAGATAGTATGATAGTGCAGGAAACTGCATATAGGATGAGTTTTATTTCGTGTACCAATTTTTTTTATGTAAGGGATTACTGCCCAGGTAGCAAACACACGTCATTTTGATGTTCCAAACTAGTCATTTTTGGTCATATGTTGTCAAAATGACTGATTATTGTTACATGACTTTATATTGACGTCTTGCTATAACATTATTTTGACGTCATTTTTCAGTCATGAAGTGACGATTATTTTATTATGAATGTCATTAGTTAGTACATCGATCCATAAAAAAAATCTTTTAAAATTTTTTATATGACATGACTTATTTCGCGATCAGACTTTTTACATATTTATATATATACATATATATGGTATATATATATATATATATATATATATTTATATTTATATATTTATTTATTTATATTTATATTTATTATATATTATATTTTTATATTTATTATATTATATTTATGAAATAGAGAGATGAATTGAAAAGTTTAATATTACTGGCAATAACGAAAGGAATATTACTGAGATATTACTGAAATAGTCAAAATTATTAACTGATTCTTTCTATAAAATATTACTGATTTACAGCGCTTTACTTATATAATGATTACTGTTGTACGTCCAGGGGAATTCATGATTCTTTTCTTTCCCGTATCCGGTGCACACGTACACGATTTCTAGAGCCAAATATAATAGCTAGATTAAAGCGGGATGCTCAGTACATATCCTAAAATAACAATCGGATGATAACAGGCAATAAAAGTAGCATCCGGTTAAATAAAGCGGCATTCAGTCAAACAATTCGATATTTTCTTAAAAACTCATAAAATCAAAAAAATAAAAGAAACTAATCATAAAACGTGAGTGACCGAATATCGCAAGAGGGTAGTAACAGTCATCCCTTGTGCGATACTGAGAATCCTAAATCCCCCGTTTTGGAAGATGCTCTCCTATTCGCGAACGAACATAATAAAATCCTGATTTGCTACATTTGTTCTAAATGCTCATAAGTAGGGGCAGAGAGGAGACCATGGAAATCTAACAAAGATTTCTATTCGTCAACCTCCCTTATTCCTCACGCTAGGAGAGGGTAATCTAAAACGATATATAAGCGCGAACTTCGAACAACACTCAGTCAGAAAAATTCGTAGTCAGAAATATTCATACAGCAGACAAAATTTCGTACAGTCAGAAATATTTTCATTGACTCAGGCGCTCATATACGCACTCAAAAGTTTCGAGACATATTAACTTTCATATCGAGTCAATGCAGCCCAGCAGCAACCACCGTCTTCATCAACGATCAATATCTCGCCATCCTCAACGCCAAGGGGGGTCCAGCGATAATTCATATCGATTTGTCCACGGTTTTTCAAATAGTAAGTCTTTTCTTTTATCTTCAAAGTTCCTCCCCCTCCCCCGTCTACTTCCTTTACTCATAATAATCGTTTCTCTAGTGGAACCCACGAGGAAATCCGCTAGAGCCCACACTAAGCGACTCCGATATCGCCGTAATCGACGTACCCGCCGACTGCTGGCTCGGGCTGCGGCTGATTCCTCATTTGCGTTAGATTTAAGTCAAATAAACGCGGATCTCCCTATTACGCGGATCTTCTTAAATAATTTTCAAGGAGACACGCGAGACTCCTCACATCTGCCCCCTCGCACTCCTTCCCCTAATTATTCTCCATATCTGCTTCCCGGAACTCTTCCTCCCAGTTACTCCCCGGTGTACGACGCACAATCTGACCTTCAGTCCGATTTCCCGCCGCTATCACCTTCTCCTTCTCCATCCCACTCGCCAGTCCCAGATCTTCATCCCTTGTCTCCTCCTCTTCTTCCTCCCCCTGTTTACTCCGACATCGATCTTAGTGATCGGATCCTTTCCGAAATTCTCAGCCTGACTTACCCTCTGTACTTTCACTCGATCCTCCCGGGTCAATTCACCTTGGGCCCTGGCCTTATTCATATTCCAACTCTCAAGGCCTTTCTCCGCACCGCTCCTTCCAACATTCCCATACCTTGCTTTACTCCCTTCACCAGATACCCCATCGCTATTCCCGTAGAATTCTTCAGGGAAAGATATCCTCCAGATTCCGACCAACCTCACCCTGTCTCACATACACACACAATCACGCTTAATGTACCGACAAACATACAAACAATCACACTTAATATTGTGTTAGAGTAATAAATAATTAAAATGTTTATATAAATTTTATCTTTTTGTAAGGTACAATAAATTTAATTAATTAATTTATTTTCACTTCAACTTAATCAATTCCCCCTCTCGTTACCCACGCTCCTGAATCGCACTTGGTCCCGTCCCGGGTAAAAAGGATTAAGTTCCTTTACCGAAAAGGGGACCGACGAGCGGGCATTTGGACCAGAAACAGCGTAAAATCGACTCTTGTGGTCGTTGACCTATTTTTGGCTCACCCGCAGGCTCGCTCGACCCGAGACACTTGCCCTTAAGGCACCTGTTCTCGGGATACACGTGTTACGCCCTTCCTTCGGCCCATCCTTCCTCGGGCCTGGACGTAACATACGTAAATTTTGGGGGCTCGTCCGGGATTGATATGTGCAATTCAAGGAAACGGGAATGAGTGACGGGACTCGAGGTAAAGCCGATAAAAAAGAAGTAGAAAAATTTTATAAACTCGGTTTGGAAGAGAAAAAATCTAAATCTAAAATTGGAATTACGTCATCTACTTCCGGTTTACTTCATACATCTACTCCAAAAAGAACTGTAGGATCTATACCAAGACATTTTGATCTTTCTTTAGAGAACACAGACACTAACATAAATAATACTATTTTAATAGCCGACACGCCCGAGCCAAATACTGACAATTCCGGCGATATAACTTGCCAAGAATATTACACACTTACTAATACTCTTATTTATAAAGCAGAAAAAGATTTTGATAGGTCCGAAACCATGACTCACCAAAACCCATTTGCTACCTTAAAATACGCGGTTGAAGCCGTTCCTTTTTTCGATGGTAAAAATATTCCGCTCAGTTATTTTATCGAAGGATGTGAGGAAGCTAAATCCATGCTACCTAAAGAAGCTGAAGCACAGTTTACCAAAGTAATAAGAACCCGAATAGTCGGCGAAGCCCGACGAACCATCCAAGATCAAGATTTTGATACAGTATCCAATTTGACTTCATATTTAAAACAAATTTACGGACCTTCTAAAAATGTATACATACTACAAGGAGAATTAGGACGCGTTTATCAAAAAAATGAAGAAGATGTAGTTACATATGCAAATCGCGTAAAATTGCTGGGAAAACAGATTTTAGAAGCATACCGTAGTACTAGTCGTTCTTTACCTGATCAAAATATAAAAGCATCATTAGAAGGTGACATGTGCAAATGTTTTATCCGAGGACTCAAACCCGAAATAGAACAGAGAATTGCGAGAGACTTAGACGTGCATGGAACCGTTGCTGACGCTTTAAGGATAGAAAGAGAACTTCGGGCAATGACAGATTTACGACAGGGACAAGAGACTCACTCAGGTCAAAACAAGCCGCGAATACGAGAAACTTGCCAGATCTGTTATAAAGAAGGACACGTGGCTAGTAACTGCAGGAAGCTCACACAGTCATCCTCTTTGGGTCAACTTCCAGGAGCCTTGGGAACCGAAATTCTGATTTGCCAGATTTGTAAAAAACGCGGACACAGTGCAGATAAATGTCGCCTGCACGATCCTCAATATCGCCAACCAGTAAATGTAATCCAACAACGAATTATAACCTGTCAACTATGTTCTAAAACCGGACACGACGCAAAATTATGTCGTCAAAATAACAATAGTAATCAAGCCAATAAAACCTCTGTAATTTGTCAATGGTGCGATAAAACTGGTCATTCAGCTAATAATTGTTGGAAGAAGCAAAATGAACAACGCAATTCAATAAATAAAACTACCGTTACTTGTCAAATTTGCAACAAAATAGGACATATCGCTAAGGATTGCCGCACTAGAACGAATTCAACACCTACAACCAACTCCTTTTGTCGATATTGTAAGGCACAAGGGCATCTTCTTGAAAACTGTCAATTACGGATCGCGAGTAATAATCGTTGGAAAGAAAAAGATCAGGGAAACTACAATGGGCCTTCGACGTCGGGTGTGCGACAGGGGCCCGAGCAAGCTTCACACCCGTCCACTCAGCAGGACGCCAAATAAACCGAAACCCAGATGTACGGTCTGTGACAGTGACCCTCGCTAAAGACAGTCGCGTGCCTACTGTTCAGGTCCAGCTCACCAAAGTATCCGCTCATATAACTCTCATGCTAGATACAGGATCCGGACCGAATATAATTAAAAAGAAATTCACACCTAAAGATATTAATATAAATTTCGATAATATTTTAAAATTAAATGGTATAAATAATTATCCTGTTTACACACTCGGAGAAATTATGTTAACAATTTTCGGAATATCTGTATCTTTTCACATTGTATCCGACGACTTTCCGATTCCACAATCCGGAATACTTGGAAATGATTTCTTCAAGCAAACTTCTTCAAAAATAGATTACGCGGAGGGACATCTAAACATTTCTGGAATTAATGTGCCTTTCTCCTCCCCCGAAACTATTACCGTACAACCAAGATCCGAGTCATTATTTTATGTAAGAATAATCAATCCTGAAATAAAAATAGGATACATACCGAAGTTAAAGGTAGAGCACGGAATTTATCTAGGGGATACAATAGTGGAAAACGTTTCTGGAAAGGCTTATTTGAATATCATAAGTACTCTAGATGAAGAGGTGGAAGTCCGTGTGCCGACATTACATTTAAAACCATTAGACGAATTATTCGATGACCATAATTCGAACATTGCAACATTCGACAAGGAAAAATCAACAAGATCATTGAAGGATTCCAGGAAAATCGACGAAACTCGAATTAATTTCATAAATGAAGATGCTTTTAGAATCCATGATAATATTATTCTCAATGAAGATGCTGAAATCGGTAATAAAATTCAAGAAAGAAACGAAGACAAAACACTTGAAAATATAAAACAAAAAGGGATGAATCAAAACAAAAGAAACAGAATTAAAGGAGGAAATAAAACTTATACGAATAAAAATTCTAATAATTTAACAATCCCTGAAGAGGGAAATTATCAAACCTCTTTAGAGAAAATTAATTCTGGAATTTCGGAGGGAAGTTTCCAAACCTCGTCAGAAAATTCCAGCTCCGAGGTAAATTACCAAACCTCTTTAGAAAAAAATAATTCTGGAATTTCGGAGGGAAGGTTCCAAACCTCGACAGAAAATTCCAGTTCCGAGGTAAATTGCCAAATCTCTTTAGAAAAAATTAATTCTGGAATTTCGGAGGGAAGTTTCCAAACCTCTTCAGAAAATTCCAGCTCCGAGGGAAATGACCAAACCTCTTTAGAAAAAATTAATTCTGGAATTTCGGAGGGAAGTTTCCAAACCTCGTCAGAAAATTCCAGCCCTGTCGATTGCAAGGAGGGAGGTTACCAAACCTCACTACGAAAATCGACACCTTATCCTAAAAAGGAAAGAAGTTCTTTATCCTCTCTAGACTTTACATCTCCAAAGGATGAATTATTTACAAGAAAAAACGATAATAATAAACTAGAAACCTCCTATGTTATAATAAAAGACCTCGTCCAAGAGGCTCAAGAAATTAATTCGAACATTAGAAAAACCGAAAATTCTCGGAAAATTAATCACAAGAATAAGCCGTCTTCGAAACTTTCTACGTCCTTATGTAATAAATCTCAAGAAATAATAGATGAATTTACGAGAAAACATAAATCTAAACACGAGATTGACGTTACAACTTCTGAGCCGCATCATTGCTTGGTACTTTCCGAGGAAACTAAGGAAGATCGACTCTCTAAAATTATCGACTTATTGCGATTAGAGCATTTAAATGAAAAAGAACAGGGAAACGTAACAAAATTAATAGCAAATAGCCAAGATCGTTTCCATATTCCCGGAGAAAATTTAACCGCAACTCACGTTTTGCAACATCAGATAACGACTACCGATGATCACCCGATAAATACTCGGCAATATAGATTTCCGCAAATACATAAAGAAGAAATAAGCAAGCAGGTAGAGGACCTCCTACTGGGAGGCATAGTGAAACACTCGCAGTCGCCTTACAATACGCCCATATGGATCGTGCCTAAGAAAGACGATTCTAAAGGAAATAAACGGAGAATGGTTCTCGATTTTCGAACCTTAAACGAAAAAACTATTGGAGACGCTTACCCACTACCTAATATTGTTGATATACTAGATCAGTTAGGGGGAGCGCAATATTTTTCCATATGCGATCTCGCATCCGGATTTCACCAAATAAAAATGGATCCTGCCGACTGTCATAAAACCGCCTTTACAACTCCTTTCGGACATTACGAATTCGATAGAATGCCCTTCGGCTTAAAAAACGCTCCGGCTACTTTTCAACGCTTAATGGATTTAGTATTGACAGGACTACAGGGCGAAAAATTATTTGTATACATATATGGATGACATAGTTATTTATGCCAAGTCATTAGAAGAACATGAAAGAAAATACAACGCTCTAATAGAACGTCTTCGAAGAGCTAATTTAAAACTACAGCCTGACAAGTGCGAATTTCTGAAATCGGAAGTAACATATTTAGGACACGTTATTAGCAAGGATGGAGTAAAACCAGATCCCAAAAAATTAGAAGCTGTAAAATTATTTCCGAGACCGAAAACGCCGAAAAACATTAAACAATTTCTAGGACTTGCCGGATACTACAGACGTTTTATATCCAATTTCTCTAAATTTGCTAAACCGCTAACGTCCTTATTAAAAAACAACACAAATTTCGAATGGACATCCGAACAAGAAGAATCATTTCAAATCTTGAAACAAAAGTTATGCGAAGAACCTGTATTACAATATCCCGATTTCTCGAAACCATTCATATTGACTACAGATGCTTCAGGAATAGCCATAGGCGGAATCCTATCACAAGGAGAAATAAACAGGGACCGACCGATCGCATACGCATCACGTACTCTAACAGATAACGAAGTAAAATATGACACTTATGAAAAAGAAGCCCTAGTTTATTGCGTAAAGCATTTTAGACCATACTTATACGGAAGAAAATTTACTTTAGTTACTGATCATAAACCTTTAACGTGGTTCAAGAATGCACAAGACGCAAACATGCGAATACTACACTGGAGACTGAAACTAGCAGAGTACGATTATGATGTTGTATACAAAGCTGGGAAAACTAATGTAAATGCAGACGCATTATCACAGAATCCTGTAAATCTCATGGAAGCAAAATGTAATATTATAAAAGATAAGCCGCTGAATCCTAATAATTCGCAAGATGCAGAGAAAATTTCTAGGATGTTAGAAGAATCCGACGATGAGGGAGAAAGCGAAGACGAAGATTTTCATTTATATCTTTCAGACACTGAAACAGATGAACCGTTTTATGACCATACTAATGCCTCATCATCTACCGAAGAAAACGAACCACCACTACCTAAACGCGATCAAATACAAACTCGAAGCCAAACTATAAATCAAAAGGAACAAAGTAAAAATGTTCAAGATATCGAAAGAAGAACAGACCCGCCAGATAAGGACGAAGATAAAGAGGAAGAAGAAGAAGAAGAAAAAGATGAAGAAGAAATTATCAATCTAAATTTACGAAAAGCAAGGACAAAATTTATCGAAAACAAAAGTAATGTCATAGAAAGTCGCGAATTATTATTTTTACGAAAAGATAACGTAATGTATTTTGTTGACACCAACGGAAAACCTTTAGATTCAGGCTCACAAAAACTCTTCGAGCGAAATAGCCTTCCAAGTCTTGGGTCACTTGCTCTAGGCAAACCTAAGGCCATAAAATATAAAAACTACTACCACATAGCTCTGCCTATTATAGAAGGACAACAGGAGGGACCTACAATGACCTTAAACCAAATATCAACCACCGTAAATAACCTACACGATATCATTCAAGATTTAAAATTAGAAACAATTAGTATTGCAAAAACGGAAACAATTAATAACGTACCATGGAATAATATTAAATCACAACTTCTGTCAACATTCGTTAATATACCCGTTAAATTGATTATATGTAATGGATTAATCAAATATCCACCTAAAGATTTACGAACTGTCATTATTGGAGAGATGCACTGCTTACCCACAGGAGGACACCGTGGCGTTACAAAAACTTACAACAGAATAAAACATAACTATTATTGGGAGAACTTGAAAGCCGACGTTCAAAGATACATCCAGCAATGTTTACAATGTCAACTCAAAAAACTCGTTAGAGTCAAAACTAAACAGCCTATGATAATTACAGACACACCAGGATCTTCCTTCGACAAGGTTGCTATGGATATCGTAGGACCATTATCGAAAACCGAGAGAGGCAACGAATATATTTTAACACTACAGGATCAATTAACGAAATATTGTATGGGAATACCGCTACCGAATCAGACTTCCGAGACCATCGCGGAAGCTTTCGTAGATCGATTCATTTGTGTGCTCGGAGCACCAAAAGCAATATTAACGGATCAAGGGACGAAACTTTATTAGCGAATTACTAAAAAGGATTGCTAAACTATTCAAAATTCGCAAGTTTCGAACAACAGCTTTCCATCCTCAATCAAACGGATCTTTGGAGAGATCTCATCATGCATTAGGAGAATATTTAAAACAATATGCGAATGAACAAAAACAGTGGGACAGATGGGTTGGTCTTGCAATGTTCAATTATAACACTAGCGTACATGAAGCAACTAAACATACTCCATACGAATTAGTTTTTGGCAAAATAGCAAGAATTCCATCCAACGAACCTCTTACTTCAGAAGATAAACTAGCAAGCTACGATGAATACTTAGTAAATCTCGTTACACAACTTCACGCTATTCAGGGAAATGCTCACGATAATGTTATCCAAGCAAAAACTAAATCAAAAGATCATTATGACAAGAAAATAAATCCACAGACTTTCAAGCCTGGAGACCAAGTATTTTTATTAAAAGGTCCTAAACCTGGTAAATTCGGAGATCAATATACCGGACCGCACGAGGTTTTAGAACTTCTTAACAGAAATAATATAAGAATAAAGATAAAGAAAAATAGTCGAATAGTACATCCTAATCGCTTACGAA